TAATCACAAAATGTGTAAAATGATGTTTATAATTACGTTTACATAATTCTGAAATACAAAATTTGTCTCATTTCCTATGAGATGTTTTGTCTGCTCTGCTCCTACGTAATAGTAAAATCATTATTTATTTTATTATTTAAATAAGTGGTATATTTTAATGAAATTCGGTAAGATAAATAAATTATGAATTATGACTATCAAATATATTATAAAATCAATTTTTTTATTATATTTATGATAAACTCATATGATACATTAAGTATAGAATCATAGAATCATTATTGTCTAAGATAGCAGCACAGCAGACAGAAACTTTAAGACGCACGGAGATCACCAAAGTTAAGCAGCATTGAGCAGGGTTAATAGTTGGATGGGTGACCACTGTTGTTATAGCCATAAAATTAGATCTAGATATTTTTTTTTGCATTTTGATCGGTTACACAGAATTGCGTAGGACCTTATTAAATACTCTATCCATAAAATTAATCCAATAATTAATTAGATGTAATAAATCTATAATTATATATAGTTATATATAATCATACATGGTTATATATGGAATTGTATATGAGGTCATATATAATTATATATGACTATATATGGAGCAATATACAGCTATGCAAGATTGTACATAGTCTCATATATAATTATATATGCTTATATGTAATTAACATATATAAAAATTTTTTCTTTGAAAAAAAATTTTTTTTTGGTAATTACGAAAAGTGTAAAATGATGTTTATAATTACGTTTACATAATTCTGAAATACAAAATTTGTCACATTTTCTATGAGATGTTTTGTCTGCTCTGCTACTACGTAATAGTAAAATCATTATTTATTTTATTATTTAAATAAGTTTTATATTATAATGAAATTCGGTAAGATGAATAAATTATGAATTATGACTATCCAAATATATATTATAAAATCAATTTTTATATTATATTTAAGATAAACTCATATGATGCATTAAGTAGATCATAGAATCATTATTGTCTAAGATAGCAGCACAGCAGACAGAGACTTCAAGACGCATGGAGATCACCAAAGTTAAGCAGCATTGAGCAGGGTTAATAGTTGGATGGGTGATCACTGGTGTTATAGCCATAAAATTAGTTCTAGATATTTTTTTTGCATTTTGATCGGTTACACAGAATTGCGTAGGCCCATATTAAATACTCTATCCATAAAATTAACCTAATAATTAATTAGATGCAATAAATATGTAATTAAATATTGTTATATATAATTAGATATGATTATATTTGGCCATTTTTCATATATAATCATATATAACCAATTTATATATAAATATATATAATTATATATAAATATTTTTTCTCGGGTGGTAAACGGCCTCGGATAATTTCCAGCTCGGGTCTCCAGTCTTGTGGACTCGCCGGTTTTGGACAGCATTCTCAGTTCTAGTCTCGTATGACACGAGTTCATGGTTTGTTGCTAATTCGTACTTGTCTAAGTCTCTGAAAAAATCCAGCTGATCTGCTGGATACTCCTTTCCCACCTTAAAAATTTTGGCCATTTTTGAATAAACTGAAACATTTAATATTCAGTTTTAAAAGTTAAGATTAATAATAAATAATTCCTCTTGATTAAAAATCTTTTTCCAATAAATTTTAGTTACTTTTAAAATTTTCTGATATTCAAGCAATAATTTTAAAATTTCCCTTCAGTTAGTGTTAAAAAATTCGAGTTAAAAAGAATGATTTTATGAAATTAAAATTAACAGACCTAGCTTGATTTTTCGATTTTTATAACTATTCAATTATTGTAAAAAAATATAGTAAAAAATTCGACTTTTAGAAAATAAAAAAAATATAAGTAGGAATTTTAAAAATATTTTTTTATCATAACAGATTCATTATGAAAATTTTAAAAATTAACCGATGCCTACCGATTTCAATGTGATATTTTTATAACACTGTAATTAACAGATATAAAACAATTTGTCAAATTTTTATAGCAATCGAATTAATATAAAAAAAATTTTAAAAGTTTCACTTTCAGATAATTTAAAAAATTATTAGTGGGAATTTTTGAAAATAGTTTTTTTATCATTACAGATTTGCTACAAAAAATTCAGAAATTAACAAATGTCTGCTGATTCCAGTATCATATTCTTTTTATTATGACAAAAATTTAATTTTGACATCATTCAAATTATGAAGTCAATTAAAAATCGTGACAAGTAGTTATTGATAAAATATAATCAAGTTATTAACTTACTTATTTAATGTCTTGACACGCAAATATAACTAATTCTCTTATATTGACAAAAAGAACACTTGTAAAGCAACACCTTTTACTCTACAGCACAGGGATTAACTTAAAGAACAACACTGCTATGAGACGCTATAAGACGTTCGTCGAGTTGACAAGCTGACGATCGCTGTGTACACGCGATATACGCGTTCTCCGTCATCCGAAACCCCTCCCCCCTCTCTGCTGCACCCTTTTCGATTCGATAATAAGTGTGATTTTCAATAACACATTTTAAGGCTAATTGAAAAAAAAATAATAGTAATCGAAAAAAAAAAAACAAACGGCGAAAAATTCTGAGGATTCTCATAAAAAGTCAAAATTTTATAAAATTAAAGTTTAAAAAAAAATTAAAATTTAAAATCACTGAAAAATTGTCGATGGTTTCCGAAATTCGTGAAAAAAATTATAAAGACAAACTCGAATAATTTTCAAAAACAAAAATTATAAAAAAAGTCCCAATAAATTGAATTTTG